ATGTATAAAAGTTATTATTAATATTGTTTCTCCAAAAATTTCTAATCGACCCTAACCCCGCGAGTTTGGTAATAAGATGTGCCATCTGTTCTGTTTAAATTTTTTTTTTTAAAAAAAAAGATTTTTAGATGACCTTTTTTTAAATGGTTAACTTTCAAAAAGATAGTTGAAAAAAATGTGTGAGAAATAAATTCTGCCTTAGATGACGTTGCAAAATAGAGAATAAAGTTCTACAAGGACTTTTCAATCACTAATAAAAGCTACAAATCATAAATTAAACATAATATCTTAAGATAATTAACTTAATACGAAATAAATAAAAAAATATCATGCCATAAAAATAAACTTGTAAACAATAAATTGTGTAGGATTATAAATACAGATTTTAATTTCATAATTCATAATGATTAAAATAATTATCTACATATTTAACTCTAGAAACTTAATTCCAAAATAATAATTATTAAATAATAAATAACTCTTAAAACTTTTGAAATCTAATTCTAGAAACTTAAAATATTCTACTTTTTCTAATATAAAAAAATATTTTTCATGGCAACATTAAGAGAAATAAAAATATTCAGTATTAAATTATTTATATACATTTAATGAATTCCTTTATTATTATTATTATTATTATTTGATATGTAAACTAAAGATTATGAATTGAACTAAGAGTACATATAATTTTACTACTAAATCAGATGATTGATGTATCAATTCCTTTATTTATTAAGGGTATAAAAATCATTTTACTAGCACATTTGTATTTTTTTATAAGTCGACCAAAAAATTTAAAGACAATTTTTTGGTACAATCTTATGTATCATTTAAATGATTGACTCTTTTTAGTTATATGAAACATGTGATATTAAATATGTCCACTCATGTAATTATAGATGAAAATTGTATAAAAAGATTAGACAAAAAATTATATAAAAGCTTGTCTCTATATCATTGCCTTTACTCCCTTTATTTTTGTTTTTATCTACATTACCTCTAAAAAAATAAGAGATGAAGATAAAGATAAACTTATATTTTCATAGAATAAATAATTAAAGTGATTAGATAACAAATTGTTAAAGTAGTAAAAAAATAATACTATTCATCTTTCCTAAAATACAAAAAATAATAAGAAAGAATTCACTTATATATAAATTTTACGTATTATATTTATATAAAATTTTAATAATTTATTTTTTTACTTTTAATGATTGAGATTTATTATAATTTTTTAGAT